TAGCAGAGCCAAACTTGGCACTGACCTTAATATAGTTGTGTTGTGATGGTTTTAATAAAGAAACTGTGTATTACAACACAACAGGATGCATGAAATGAAAACTTTCAATTAATGTTTCACTATTAATCTGTTTTGGCCTTGTAAGGTCATTGCTAGGGATAGTAGTGAAATAGTAAATGAGAATGTGACTGATGCAATAGCCATACAGTCATCAGAACATAGAAAATAGTGTGTGTAAGACTGACAATAAACATTAAGTGATTAACGATTACAGAAGTTACAGTGACACTGTGTTTGTGTAGGCTCATGCCCGTGCCATTATGGTGGACAAGTTTGTTGAGAGTGTGTTGGAGCTGAATGTATCCCCTGCTCTCAAGACAGTGCTGACCCAACTGAGTGAACTTTATGCTGTCTACTGGCTTCTTCAGAAATCTGGAGACTTTCTTATGGTAAGACAGTGGCTTGATGCCTGCATACTTACATCAGCAACACGCTGCATTGTGTATTCTTTTCACAGATATAACTCACATTTTATCTGGCAGATTTTGTGAATATTGTAGGTACTCATCTTTCAACATATATCATACAGCGTGAAAGAGATATCATGTGAAATGCATTGTTTTGTATAGAGAAACATTCTTTTGTAAAAACCGTCATGCTTAGAAGGTTGAAGCATCTTTAGTTTAAATTTCCATTACTTCTGTTGCTGTCTTAGAAGCTAAAATAATTTCTTGTTTGTCATAATGCCTGATATGTCAGCTTTCTGTAGAGCCATAATCTATTGACATCTTAATAATTAAACTACAAGCTTTAAAAATTTGTATGGCATAAAAGTTAATTTTCATCACTCTGACTGGCTAGTGCAAGAGCCACAGAAGCAGAAAGTGCCTTCCACCATGAGTGCTAATTATTTAATGAATGACTCGTTGAAAGAACTAATGCGAAGATGCGGGAATCAATATTGTTGTGGGACTGAACAGGAGGGGATTGGAGGGGGGGGACAGCTTGACTGGAACATGCTTCCCTCTCATAGTTTTCCCCTTTCCTGTTCTTGTACCTTTGAGAAGATCTGAGAATTACCACAACAATTAAGTTGAGTTGAGTTGAGCTGAGTTGAGTTGAGTCACATCATGAGCTTACAGGTGATGTACGGCATTTGTGCATGGAGAAAGTGTGTATGGTGGGGTGATGTGATAAGTTAGTTGAGTGCTGGCAGGAACTTGACAGGATGCATGGAGAGAATAGTGCAGTGGTGGACTAGACCAAACTGACATCAAGCTCTTAATTGGCTACAGGCGATCTGACATTGACTGTTCCAAAACGTGATATGTATTATGTTTAGGGCAGGTTTGGTAGTGGAAGGAACTAAGATTTGAAGAAAGGAAATGTGAAAAGGAAGAAGTCATGGAAACTTTGTGATTTCATAAGAGACGATGATTAAAGATATTTTTATTTAATTTTCTGAAGCTAAAATTCACTCAATTTTTGTTCAGTTTCATAAATTTTCATGAAGTTAAATTTGGTAATAAAAATGAACTGTGGCATATAAAGAAAGCTGATATGCTGTATATTTGACATGCTCATGACTGGGACTGTCATATTGTAACAGTTTACTGTATTCAGTTGCACATACTGCTAAAAATGTTTAGTGTTATGCTTTGTGACATATTGGAAGTAATATCATTGCTACAATTTTTTAATCAGCTGACAAACATCAGGAAAAGGCTTGTAACAAAGGCATCACATTCTATTCGCAGTCCTCCACCATCCTGTAGCACTGTTTCTGTTTTCTATGGGTCAATGGATGAAAAGTCTCAAGTCTCTTCTGTCTTCCTGCATTCTTTCCTTTTAATATCCTGTTGGCTCTTTCCTGTCAAGGACGACGAGGTGGGCAGGGCATGTGGCACAAATGGGGGAGAAGAGGAATGGGTGTAGGATATTGATGGGAAACATAGAAGGAAAGAGACCACTGGGAAGACCAAGGTGTAGGTGGGTGGACAGTATTAAAATGGATCATAGAGATAGGATGGGATGGTATGGATTGGATTGATCTGGCTCAGGATAGGGACCAGTGGAGGGCTCTTGTGAACACGGTAATGAACCATTGGGTTCCATAAAATGCTGGGAAATTCTTGAGTAGCTGCAGATTTGGCTTCTCAAGAAGGGTTCAGCTCCATAAGTAAGTTGGCTCTTTCCTTTCTTCCTTCTGTCTTCCAGTACGTGGCTGAACTGTCTTGAACTGGGTCTCTTTCTGTTAAGTTTTAATTCTTATGCCCTTCTTGGCATCCTTGTTCTGTCCATTCTATTCACATGGCGAAACCATTTTTCTTTCTCTTCTATCTCAATTAACACATTTTCAGTTCACATCTTCTCTATTAATTTCATCTTTAATTCTATTCCTTCATGTTTTCTCCCTCAGAACTTCTCAGAAATTGTATCTACATGGCTTGCATTTTGGTTTTGATTCTCTTTCTAAGGGCCCATGTTTTAGTGTTAAATGTTAGTATCAGCTTAAAATATATCCTCTTTCTATGATTAGAGGTTCTTAGAGTGGTGGTTATGAAGAGTTCTGTCTTCTGGGATATAGTGCTGTGTAGTCTGTTGAAAGTCAACCGACATTTCAGAGGAATATAGAGGAAGATGGAGGCAATATGTTCCTTTGAAATGTTGGTTGACTTTCAACAGGCTACATGGCATTTTACCCCAGAAGACTGAACTGTTCATATCATCTTCTTTTCCATTGTTTTGAGATATCTGTTTCATAATATTCCTTTTATAATTTAATATAATTTAGTACTATTTTATATTCATCTATTTGCAAGTGAAGCAGTTAATTCACATGTTACAAAGGTTTAATGAAACCTCTGCTTGAGCAGTGAACTTAAAATTTGTGTTCTGATGCCAACAGTTTTCAGACGTAACAGCACAAGACATTGCCAGTCTCCAGAAATGGATGGAGGTTCTACTATCTGAGATTCGACCAAATGCGGTTGGAATTGTTGATGGTTTTGATATCTGTGATGAGATTTTGTCATCAGCACTTGGCTCATATGATGGAAGGGTCTATGAGCGTTTGTTTGAAGAAGCCTCCAAGAGCCCCCTGAATAAGGAGCCTGTCAATGTATCCTTCCACAAGTACCTAAAGCCCTTTTTGAAGGCCAGTCTCTAAGAGATTAGTTTCTTAGACAATTTTGTTTGGAACCTAGAGTAATGCTGAGTGCCTTTCCAAATTTTGTTTCACTAAAGAATTAGTGTATTACCAATAAAACCGGTAAGGGAAGCTAAATATATGAAAGTATTAACACAATGAACTTATGAGAAAATAGTACTTAGATCATGTGGTGACATAACATTACTCAGTATAATTTATTTGCAAGTCATTTATTTTTAAAAAATATTTTATAGATACTTGGTACAAGATTTCTGCTGGACAGCTAGAGGCTTGTCACACATTTCTCTTCAGTGTTCACACTGAATGCTGTATGCATGTTGTGTGGTTCAAAATTTACAGCTGAAATGAGAACAAAATTATGGTGTAAGTTTTTCTTTTCCTGACCAATCAGTTTAATGTCCTCTCTTTCTGTTGGCTGTTGTAACAGTCATTTAACTTCTAATGCAGTAAGCATGGGTAGGCTTTAAAGCAACTTGTTCCCTTTAAGAGTCTGTAGTTGCTGTGCTGACACAATGTTAGTGAACACAGCATAGCAAGTTCAAGTCATTTCACAGCTAGAAACTTTGAAATAGACTGCAAAAACTGACAGTCCATCTTCCTTCAGAAAAAGGTTACCAAAATTAGAAAATCTGGAGGTTAAAAAAAAACAACTGAAAGACCTGGGCCTAGATTGGCAGATACTAATGCATTGGATATTAAAGAAAGAGTGTGTTATGGTGTGGATTGGATTCATCTTGCTCAGGATAGGGGCTAGTGATGGGCTGTTGTGAACGTGGTAATCAACCTTCATATTATGTAAAAGATGCATACTAATCTTAGCTTACATGATGGTTTTGGTTGATCTAGATGTATCTTTACTAATCCCTCAGATAGCCAAGGTCAGGTGACGCGTGGAGTAGGATACTCCCACTGCTAGAAGATGTAGTTTCTAAATCCATTTATGTGTGGTGCACACACATAGCAAGAGGTGTCCTTTTTCTTCAACCTTTTCACTGCTGAGTAAATAAAGCCTAGTGTAACACCCCTGTGCTAAATTACTTTTGTAATACTTATTTTTTAAAATAAAAGGAAATCAAGTAGAAATCTTAACAGTACATGCATACTAATCTTATCTTACATGATGGTTTTGGTTGATCTAGATGTATCTTTACTAATCCCTTAGCCAAGGTCAGGTGACATGTAGAGTACGATACTCCCACTGCTAGAAGCTGTAGTTTCTAAATCCCTTTATGTGTGGCATACACACATAGCTAGAGGTGTGCCTTGTAGTTCATTATGTTCACAATACATGAAGTATATGCCTGGCAAATTTGAACACATTCAGAAAATTAAAAAAATGACATTCCAAAATATATGTAAACATATAGTAAGCAGAATAACTGATTAACCTCATGGATATAATGGATAAGCCTAAGTAGTAAATAAGTAAATTATAAAGGTGTCAGAACTTGTTAATACTAATTCAAAGTCTAAAGATTGTACAAATACAGAACATAAGACTAAAGAGAGCAAATCCATCTGTTGGCTAGGAAGGCAACTCTTGTAAGATTTGAAGGCTGGATGGGCAGAGGAGCCTGCCCTCTTTTTGTATTATAACAACAACAACAACAACAACAGTAATAATAATAATTGGAAAGTTATTTTGGATGATACATGTTTATACAGCTCTCACCTTTGAGAATACAGGTGCAGCAAGGATGCCACATTGAGCCATGTCTGTAGTATCAAGAGCTCAGCAGTGTAAAGGTTAATTATCTCTAAAAGTGCAAGACGTATGAAGAAAGTTTATAGCATATAGAATGGTGTTTTATTCTTCTCAACAACATTCATTCTAAACATTTTTCTCTTGATGTTTAGCAAGATACATGCAGAAATGCAAGTAAATGCATGTGAAGTCATCATTAAATATGTTGAGTCAAAACTGAAGTTGAAATAGCTTGACAGTGTCATAAAATTCTCCAGTATTAAACTTAATGGAAATCCATCTGGTATTTTTCAGTTTTTATGGATTGATTGAGGAACATTTAGGCACTCCTCGGAGTTCTATGTAGTTGTGCACAGTTTGTACATCCCAAATTTTAAATATTCCACTTCAGAATTTTAACAAGACATTCCAAGAAGACTCATAAAGCTTACTTTCCCGTTACATAGTTCTACAAATCTGTTGTTAATATTACTGTTCTTTTATTATGTTTTTTTATGAAGAACTCATTACTTAGGAACAGATTTTATATACATTCAAAGAGCTCATAAGATTCTGGTGCTGAAAGGGCTAAAGGACTGAGGAAACCGTAGGTTATACATATAAGGCAGCTGAAGTAGACAGAACAGAGATATGAGATAATCTGATCTTGCATATTACAAATTTTATTTATGTTGGTCAGTGCAAATGAATTTCAGGTTCTTATGAATTACTAATTTGAATAGCAAAGTGTAAACCCTGCATTGTCAGGCGAGATTTTAACAAAGCTCAGCACATAACCACTAAACTTGAAAATATATTAATAATGTTAATTTCAGTGTTACTAATGATACATAATTATAGTTTTAACTGTATCAGAATATTTGAAGTTCTTTATTGCATTCGAGCAGTAATTTCTAGTTTCTACAGATATACATTTTTACACTGAAGTCTTCCCATGTGACTGACTTGTTACTCATTTCACTGGTCCCTGATGGTGCAGACGGAATGTCTCCAAAACATCACTATTTTATTCCATTTTGACTGCATAGTCCTTCAAGAAGACTTCACTTCGTTGGGCCACTGTGAGAATGTTTTCATTGTGTGTGTGTACATGCACATGCACACACTTCTTACACTGATTACAGTGTTCTTATTTTGTAACTCACATAATTTTAAGTTAAGTTTTACATAACCTGTAAGTAGTGATGTCTGAACATATGCAGTATATTTTTGTGTGTCTATATAAACTGTATACTATTCAGATTGTAAAATACAGTATATTTATAAATCATTTGTCGTAAAAATTCTTGAGATTATACAGTATTTACAGACAGTATGAATGGTATGAAATTTATAAATTGTCTGTAGTAATAGTTTTCAAATAAGTGACATTTTGCTGTTTTGTTGAGATTATAAGATAGTGAGGTTGAAATAGTTTTATTAATTTTGTATGGTGTGTACTGCATTTCAAAATCTGTTTCTTTAATAAGACCAAAAATGATTTGTCATAATTGTCATAATTACTTCAGTTTCAATGTTGATGGTAATGAGTACAAAACAGAACATGCGTAAAAGTTGTTACACCAGCCGCTTTGGTATCTTTCGTGTACTTTCATTCTTGATTGAATTAATTTATGATTCAGCTAGCTCAGAATATGTTTTCGATGTCAGTATTCAGAAACTTATCCCCAAATCCTTTTAACAGGAGTAATAATGGACTGAATGAGAAAGGAACAGGAATAACAAATTATTGTTATTCCTGTTCCTTTCTCATTCAACTCATACACTATCTTTAACTTATTCATTATAATGAATAAGTTAAAGATAGTGTATGAGTTGAATGTGATACGTAAAGATTGACTTTATTAAACACTGGAATCAATGGTTAAATAGTTCTTGAAAGTCGCAACAATTAAAAGTCATGCATTTTCATAGCTATGCACATGCTGCTAAATCACATGGAAGTTCAAATATATATTCACTAGAATGATAAAAAAAGTCAAATTCTGCCACTATCAAAGGCGTGTAAACATTTTCAGTAATCATGTTTTCATTATCAAAAGAGAGGTGGATATTTGACTATGTAAAAGTTCAGTGTACATTTTAAGAAGTTTCAGCAAATTTGTGTTGTGAATTATTCCAATATATTCACTATGTGTCATATGTGGTCTCCCCACGTGAAATATGTGATCACTCATGGAGGCTCCAGGACACATCCTTCTGAAATTTTGAACTTTAGATAAAAGAGATATGAACTGATCTTTGGGATTGGTCAAATGAACCCTACCATTTGAATATGTCATGAGCTGACCAGTCATGTTCTATAAATTTCAGACTAAGAATTCCCACTCACACACAAAAAGGGAGTAATAACGCTATAAGAACACGTTGTAAAGTTGAAGTAGGGTGAGTTTTGTTATTTCTGCTTCTGAAGATACATGAATGCGTCATCAGGGGTTAGAGTAACAATGTTAACTGCCCACAATAAGAAGCAATGTTCTTAATAAGATGATAGATGGTTCTTGTATTTTTGACCAACTGAAAGTTACCCTTTGGTATGTTGCCTTCCATATACTTCAGTGGGTCCTTCTGAAAGGGGCGTTGAGTTTAGTTAGTTTCAGTTATTGTACATCATGAATTTGTATTTGTATTTGTATTTGTATTTATATTTGTTCAAGAAATCCAAAAAAGGATATAGAACATGTCACAGAACTAAATATAAAACAGGATACATGCATAAATTACACGACTAGATAGTACAATGAATCAAACAATAACAAGTTTCAAAGANATCAGTGATATAGAAAGTGGGTGTATCATAAAAGATGTTTAGGTTCACAGAGCCATGTTGTTTGATATTATATAATCCATTTCATGTTGACTCTAACGTGAAGAAAGCCTACCGCTGATGGGTTGAACCATTTATGTAGTGTTGCAACTCAAGAAATCAATTTCATTTGACTATCACAAATTTTCCAGTGAAGTACTGTTTGTTTCCAGTTTCATGTACTGCTTGAGTTCTGAAAACAGTGCTGTTCTGCCATTTCTCAGGTTGAAATTTTTATATCTCACTTCTGTAGGTAAGTGTTACTGAGTATGGAGGCAGCTGTGGCACCATTTCTTCTAAATGTGCATTCAAATTGTTATGTTTTTACACTTAACTTTCTGTTGTCATAATAATGGCTTGCAGTGTACACCTGCTGTGTAGTTGTAATCTTAATGCAATCATTCGGCCATGTGTAAGAAGTTAAAACTGTGGTCACCTCTTTATATTTTGATGAAATGTTTTCGTTTTAAAATATTTATTATTTTGGTCTTTGATGGATTTATTTAAACTGGAAACTCAGTTTTGTGAAACCTTGTTTCATATTTTCCACAGATTAGGAAACATATTTATTTAAATTACAATTGTGGTTATTTTTGTGGTATGGTATGGGTTTCTTTCCTGCTTTCCAGGCATCAAAATGGCAGTGGCAATTTTCTTGTCCCTTTCGAAGTAACTTAAATTCTTTGAAATACATGACTCATATGCCATTACAACATTGCAGACAATATGCATTATGCATTAAAGGTTTAACATTTCAATTGAACCTTATCATTCATTCTTTTGTTTAACAGTTGAATGCAGTCAGAAAAATGCTTGTTCATGTATTTCAATAGTATCTGAAATGTCTGAGAGTGAAAGTACGAGCAATAGCTTATAAAATGGAGCATAAAGTGACATCTATGATAAACTCATATTTTGTATATGGCTGTAGTTTACACGAACCTTTATGGTCTTCATAAAATTGGGGCAAAAGTTAATGCAGGTATTATCTCACCTTGAAACATATCCTTAGGTAAAATCCAGTATTAAATGTAATTATTCAAAATTCATGAAAACTTAAAGCATGATTTGCTGCAGTGAATTTTGTGGATGTACTTGAATCAATAATGGTATATCTGCATTGCCATTTCCAAGGAATTTTTTAGTTGATTATTAAACAACACTAGGTATTGAGGCTACATAACATCAATGATCATATAATTAATGATTTTGGAGTAGTTTATGGTTTGAAAATTGGCAGGGGAAATAGAAGTACTCGGAGAAATCCCACCCCAGTGCCACTTCATCCACCAAAAATCCATACATGTATATTTCTGTGTGGTAACCAGGAACTTCAAAGACATTTTTTTTTTCATTTTATGTTTATTTTTATGATAAATGTCATGTCAACTGTAGGTTTTTATATGAAGTTTGGAAATAAAATAGTGGCAACACAGGCGCTGTATTAATAATTTCTTTATTAGTCTTCATGAGAATATATGTCCTTGCCTATGTCTTAATATGTTTCCACACCCATGAAGGGTGGTCGATGCCATCTCCAGATTGAGTTTCCTTCATCTTTGCTATATGCCCCCTAGTTGTATGCTCAACACTTTTTCTGTGGTGAAACCGCTTCTGTCAGAGAGGTTCCTTCATCTTCAAGAAGAGACTGAAATTGCAATGGCTTGTATCAGGAGAATATGATAGTGTTCCAGCGTTTCCCATTGTCTCTGTGCCACAAGGTCTTTGATACTGGCAGAATTTCAGGTAGAGATCACCAAGTGTCACTTTTGTCTCTCAGAAAAGATGCAATTATAATGCCTGATTTTAGATTTGCACATGCCTGTGTATTTTGAAATTATAAAAGATAATTCAGGACTGACACAGGAGTTTCCAGGATGAATGGAAATATGTCACTTCTTGTGTGTAGGCTGAAGGTTCCATAACGTGGCCATCATTCTGTGTTTATAGCAGTGGGAAGAACTGACATGATTTGAACCATCATCACCACATTCAGATTCATATGTCTGAATTTTGATCACATTGTGTGAGTTTTATAGATACACCCAAAGGTATAACCCAAGATTTTCACTAGTGCTGTAAATGGAAACTAGGATCCAGAAGATTGAGGCAGCATGTTATGGGGCTGTATGGTGCCACAATCTGGTTTCCAAACTTGTATGATGTTATGTTAGAACAGTGGCTCAAGCAGGAACCCTTTTGATTTGTATTCAGAAAGTGCCAGGCACAAATCTCAGCTGGGATGGTGACTATTCTGACAGATTTTCTGTGATTTTTTCAGTCCCTGCAATAAATTCGAGGGATAGCACATTAAAGCAGGACAAGACTACTACTTTTAACATTCTTTCTAGTTCATTATTAACTATCATTCACTCATTCAAGTTACTAACAAAGTTGAATAAATTCAAAACATTTAAATTATGTTGTTTGTCACAAAACTGAATGGGACACAACCAGCTTCTGGCTGCTGTCTAAAAACGTAAAAATTAAAATATACAAAACCATAATTTTATCTGTAGTTTCGTATGGCTGTGAAACTTGGTCCCTTGACATTAAGGGAAGAACACAGACAAGGGTTTTGTGAACAGGGTGCTGAGGAGAAATTTGGACTGAAGGGAGAGATGAAATAAAAGGAGGCTGGAAAAAATGGCATGATTAGGAGCTTCATGACTTTTATTTTTGCCAAGCATAATTAGACTGATTGAGTAAAGGGGGTGAGATAGGCAGGATGGGCATGCATGGGAAAAGAGAATTGTGTACAGGGGATTTGGTGAGAAAGCTAGAAGGAAAGAGATACTATTAGAATGAATCGTAGGCAAATAGGATAGGGTGGCATGGAGTGGATTAATCTGGCTCAGGAAAGTGGCAAACTCTTGTGAACACTGTAATGTACCTTAGGGTTCCATAAAATCATGGAACGTTCTTTCGTTCATGGCTGGGCAACTGGCAGCTTCTCAAAGACTGTTGCTCCCCATGTTACGCATCACATCGCACTTTACATTGAGGTTATGTAACTCCATTTGAATTTTAAAAGACGACCCACGTCGCTCTACTTATCAGCCATATCAGCAGTTCTACTCTTTCCACTCAAATCACGTGCTAACCTGACCTTGGTAGTATGAACCGGTCTTAATTTGTTTACTAACCTGCTACCACGGTGACTTCGCAAAAACTGGTAGTTCATACAAGCGCGAACGTGATTAGAGGCAAGGAGTCCTGTCCGCTGTCCACTTTTCATTTCTGACAACAGTATGGGTTCAAGGACGCCAGAAAATTCGGATCTAAAGAAAGAAAGAAGAACATGTACATTTAACCCGCTGGAATTAACTGTCTTCCTCGATGGTGGCCGCAAAAAAACTAAGGAAAGGAGAGACATAGGTGAGTAATAGCAGTGCTGTGCCTGACTGGCTGATAGTCAAATCAGAATATTTGCGTAAAGAAATGCTGAATTTTGAAGAAATGGAAGAAATTTACTCTTTATTCTCCCCTCCGCCTCATAGTATATAAACATGGAAGACAGCACACAAACATTGAAACATAGGTACACAAGAGTTAACATCGTCATCATACGCAAGGGCAGGCAACAACACGCAAATAGGAACAAGAGAGTATAACGATAACTGCAGCGTAGCTGGTTGTGAGGCCATGCTACAAGCCGGAAGGTTGCGGGTTCAAGTCCCGATGAGGTGATTGGATTTTTCTCAATTGACCTAAGCTTTCAAGCCGCACTATGGCCCTGGGGGTTCACTCAGCCTCTAACAGAAATGAGTACCAGGAATTAATTAAATCATTTTCCTGGGGAGTAAAGCGCGGCCGGCGCGTAAGGCTGACAACCTTATCGCCATCTTTGAGCCGATTGTCTAGATAATGTGGGACCCTCAACGTCTCACAACCCAATGGGCCTTCACGGCCCGGTACAGGGATAGCTTTACTTTTTATACGTTTTATATAACATAACACTGTAGAGAGTAAATCAAAAAGTAGCAATGTGAGTGCTTACATATTACAGACGATAACACAAACAAGGGGCTTACGAACAGAAGCAACGTAACGAACACCAAGCCGCAACATAGAACTGTATCATTTGGACAATTGAATGGAACTAATTTGTTTCATTCTGGTCCCTCACACTAACAGTATCATAAGAGATTAAACAGTTTCGTCCAGTGTGACTAGTAAAGATTTTTCTTATTTCAATCCTTCATCCCTTACATGTTTCGGTCTTTACAGACAATACTCAGAGGGACATCATTACGATCGGAAGCCACTATTGCAATATGTATTTGAATGCCAAGATATATACATACAATGCTGACAAAGTAAAATGGGTATAAAATCTAATGTTTTAACAACTACAGCGGTTGTCTTAATATGTTAAAATATTCACAATTAGTTAGTTAAAATTTTTGTTGGAAATCGTAAACCAAGTTCGTTGGTGTCCTTTATTATTATTATTATTATTATTATTATTATTATTATTTCTTCTCTTGAAGCAGGCCAAATGTGCACCGCCGCGAACACCTACAGGACGACATAAAAGATCCTCTTCTCAAAAACAACAGAATTACAAGGCGACACACATTCGGCCCCCTTCAAGAGAAGACAGAGAAGTTATACTCTATATTTATTTATTTATTATATATATATATATATTTTTTTTTTTGTAATTTTGATGCACACCGTAAAAATTGTTTCCTGCTTCTTCATAGAGCAGTTCTGCATTATAAAGTCACTCCAGCTTCCAGAACTTGAAAATTTTCGCATTCTCTGGTGGCATAAACCAGCTGGAAGCAATAAAATCATTTGGTTCTCTGCTGGCAAGCTTCATATCTTTGTTGCACTCTTCAGATATTTGAGTCTTCTGACTAAAGGACAGAAAAGTGAAAGCATTGCAGTTGAAGAAAAGTTACAGGGTCTTTGTTCCCTTCTTCCGTGCCACGCCCTTCTATTGAAGTTGAGATAGAATATTGCCCTTTCTAAACACCTAAAGACGTAAACACATGCATCGTAGCTGAGATACAGAGTGCATTCAGTTTTCTGTGAGTTCATGGTGAATTCGAATATTGTAGTTTCATATCATCATAAATGCAATGCTACATTGTTTTCAAGATGAAGAAATTTAAAAGCAACTGAAGTGCAAGGTATGTGACACGGGACTGTGCATTTTCGGGAGCTTCAAGAAGTACCATACAAAGGCGAGATTCAGTTACATGACGTGGGGGGGTGGTGAACTCTGTATATACATCAAGCAGATAACTAAAGAAAAAAAAAATATACATTGAATTTTACTTTGTTTAAAACTAATATATAGGATTGTGCTTTAGCCGTGGCAGGCGGTTGAAAGTCTGTAAGATTAGAAAAATTATGTTTTGGGTAATTGTATAAACAATGTACAGTTTTATTGTGGGAAAAAAATAAGCATATTTTTTTGATAGATCAGTCTTTATTCTTTCATTTACATATAACTCCTAATATAAGATATTCCATAATCTTGAGTTATCAGCGGTTACGTAAGAAGTTGCACAAGTGTTACGCTCAGTGTCACGGCTACATCCATTTGCACCCTCGCATAATAACGTTTTCAACATTAAAACGTGGCCGTTCACATAAGTACGTGTTTCTTTTGAGTTCACGATAAGATTTTCTGAGCGCACATGGCATTTGATTTTGAAACTTCCAGCACGGGACTTAACTCGGCAACACGTCACGTTTCTCACTGGCTAATATCATGTCAGGGGCCATGCCTCGAACTTCGTACTATAGCGGAACTAGAAATACTACTGGAGAATACACGGTCGTGAGCTAATGACGTTTTTAAGCCAACAGTGCCGAGCGTTAATGGAAACGATCATCAAATTGCACCTGGACTGTAAATTCACGAAGTACATCAGTATGATTTATATCTCATACTTCTTCCTATGGCATTCCTTTCAGCCCATTGATTTTTAGTTTTAATTCTGCTGCCTTGCAGTGAATTAAATAATGTACAGTACCCAGCCAAATAATCAGCATTGGATGGGCACCATAGTGTTATACTTCTCCATTTACACCAATTTCTTACAATCAGAATCTAAGAGGAATTACCGTATTTACGCATGTATAGGCCGCGTGCGTGTATAGGCCGCAGCACAATTTTCAGACAGAAATTATAGAAAAAATAATTTTCTTGGAATATTATTTCACGAGTAGAACACCCTGTATTACTAATTATGAATATAATTTTTTTTTAAATGAAGTGTGATTTCGAATATAAGCCGCACCCCAGTTTTCCTCTTGAATTTTTGGCAAAAAATGTGCGGCCTATACATGCGTAAATACGGTACTTCTTCCAATTCCAAAATGATCAGTGTGTTCTGAGACACTGAGGTTCACTCCCTGTGAGTGATCTAGCAAGTGGATTTAACTGGCATTGGCCAGTGTTGTCAATTATCCCACTCAGATGGAGTGACATGATGTTGAAATAATGTTATATTTCAGCATCCAGTTGCACTGCATAGATTAGACTTCAGATTTTGCTTTTGTGCCGTCTAGGTGCAACATCATTCACTTGTCATTTTCCTTAATTGACCAAAATGGCCATCTTCAGGTGTACAGGTTGTTGTGATGAAGGAATCTGCTGCTCACTGAAATGCTCTTCTGTGTGGGGTTTTCTGTGTCTGTCTCCTGTCGTTACTTCAATGACAACCCACTTCTTCGGAACAGTTTGTTGGTCCTGAAAAGGACCGTGGTTGCTGAGATGCTTGACAGGTGAGGTAGCGCAGTGCGCGCCGGTAGAGAGAGAAGTTAGTTGCGGTGGTTTGACTGGCCACAGCGCGGCTGTTGCTGGAGGTTGCTTGATCGCCGTGCGGCAGGTGAGTTGAAGTTGTGTGGTCGCGCAGCACAGTCGCAGGAGTGATGAGGCAGTGGCTGCGCCAGATGCCCAGTGGGTCGGACAGGGTCACGACCACCGGCGAGTCCAGGTGAGGTGCCCCAGTGCATTGGGTGTGAGAGCCAGAGGGCCGAGGCAGTCGTGCCTGGCGCAGCCTGCCGATGCCTCCGAAGACCGAGCGCTGGTGACAAAGCCTGCTGGCTGATGTTGCTTGAGAGTGGCTTGATCATACACTGAAGTCAGACTGATGCTGCCGGTTTGCGGCTGCTCCTTTTTATACACTGCTCGGTGGGCGGAGCGAAACTTGAAATTGAGGAGGAAGAATTTGCAGGGCGCTGATTGGCTAAGAATGAGGAGCAGAAATTTGCAGCGCATGCTGGTATAAATATGAATGAGATGTCCGGCAGTGCGATATTCACAAAGGAGTGAGTGTTGCCTAAAAGACTGGTGGAAACAGCATGCTATGTGGGATGTCCCCACATCTGTTTCCCTTAGGTAGAGGCCTCGAATTACATCTGGTTATATGCGTTAACCATCTGTTTTATTTAGGTGTCATTGAGCTGCATGTGCTTGCCTTATGTTCTTGTTTGGTTTGTTGGCTGTGGCTGTCTCCAGTGTTCTTTTGCTGGGGTGGTAGTTTGTTGTGTGGTGGTCGGCCATCCCAGTCATTTGTTGTAGGTCACCTAAATAAAACAGTTGGTTAGCACGCATAACCAGATGTAATCCAAGACCTCTACATAAGAGAAATAAAACGGCATTACAGTGAGCAGCAGGCTCTCTAATCACAACAACCTGTACACCTGAAGATGGCCAGTTAGGCCGAAACATGTAGTGTCAATAAAGGAAAACAAGTGAATAGTAACCGACATTGCACATAGATGGCATAAAAGCAAAGCGCAAACTCAGATGTTAAAGTTCAACAGGACTGCAGAATTCCAATCACCTGACTTTATTTAATATTACTGTAATTTGTAATTGTTTACAGTTGATTATTAGGAGAACTACTTTTATCATCTTGACACTGTTCAGTTATCTGCTTGACAGTAAAGACTAAATGTACAACACAGGCCTATGCTTGTTGTTCTTAGGGTTGTAACGCTGTGATAATTCTACTAGCTGCAGGTACAAACTACATTAGACTGATCAAAAGATAATGCACTTAATAATAAGTAACAGTATATAGCTGTTCATGTGCTATGGACCCAGTAGTGGTTTATGTGTTTGTGGAAACTGTAAGTTGCCCTCCACATGCCAATACAGTAAAATACAGTGTGCATGTATTTAACTGGCTAGGGGTTGCATGGCCTTGACAGTAAATTTAATTAATTACCAGTAGTAAAGAAATTTATACAATGATGAGGAGATACATATTTCTTAAATTGTTTTAAAACTGATCTTTTTTAGAGAAAGTTTCTAAGAACAGGAAAACCACTGAGGAAATAAGAATTTTTTAATTATTATTATTATATATCCCAGAATCTGAGAATTTGAGATTATTATCAACTTGGTCAAATGGAGTTTGGGAATTTATGGCCAGCAAAATGTTGTAGATATTCTGTAATGCTCCAATTTATAATTATGGAACAGAACATTTGAAATGAGAACAAGATGAAGATATCATATAAACAACATTCAAATTAGAAGAAAACCAGTGCATCTCTGCACATAAGATTTTTCTATTAAATCTGATAACACTTTCATAACTTCATTAGCTGTATAGTATTTAACTGATGAATTTGAAGCATGTCGGAGAAAGTGGTATTGACTTATTTTAAGGTATTATCTCATAATTTTCCTGGAGTGATTGAGAATCATTACGAGAAAGCTCAGTCGCAGTATAAGGTGTGTATGCTGAGGTTTTCACCAAGAATCTCCCACATATTAAGTAAGAGATACCAGCATGCTCTAATCTGTAATGTTGAAAAATAAATGTAAATTAATGCACTTTGGGTAGCTGTAAGAAATCTTATATTTTTCTTTTCATTTGATCATGATAACCAATTAACCTTTATGTGAAATTTTATAGTAAGAAGAACAATCGTCATGAAAAGTTAAATATTTCCATCTAGTGCGACTGGTGAAGATTTTTCTTATTTCACCAGTCACACTAGATGGAACTGTTTAACTTTTCATGATATTGTTAGTGTGACGGACCAGAATGAAACAAATCATGAACCATCATATTTACAAATTTTGTATTTTCCTTTGTATGTAAACAACACACACATGGCAATGATGTAACACAGTCTGAATCTCTTCTACCAGAAGTTATGAAGAGAAATGGGTCAGTATAATTATTAATTAATGTGACTTACTGGCTTTAGAAGGAAAGTAGGCCTTTTAAGTTAATTCTTTGTGAACTAAGTATAATGGGTTCAGAGACAAGAATTTTTCTGTAATGTGTCTGATGCAGGAAGTTTGCTGCATTGTATTTGAGAAAGATGCCTATATTCTAATACCACAAAACAAATTATGACAGCACTTTTATAAGTGGAAGAAAATTCTATGTTTTTATTTTCTTGAGGACTGGCTCATACTGCTAAAAAAGTGAATGTTACATAAAGTGTCTATTAGAATGACTCCAACAGATCCTTGTCAGAAATGTTTTAAAATTAAGATAATCTTATATCACATTTAATGTCTTCTGTGAGCTTAAGAACAGTAAATTTATATTCCATTTTTATTTGTGTTCAAATATGAGAGATTTATGCTAAAAATGTGCCCTTTGTTATTTTGAATGTGGAATTTGATAATGCTCAAAATTCAATCCATCTAGTCATAGCAGCATTCTTACATATTTGGTGACTTATGGTCCAGAAATTGCAGTTTGTTTACTGCATGCAATGTTACATGAGGAGGCAGCAATCTTATATAAAGGCCGCACCACAGCTCAAGCAGTTAGTTGCTGGCTTCCCACCGCGGCAGCCTGGGTTCGATCCTGGGTCTGGTGAAGTGGGATTTGTGGTGGACAAAGTGGCGCTGGGGCAGGTTTTCTCCGAGTACTTTGGTTTCCCCTGCCAATCTTCATTCCACCAATTGCTCCACAATCACCCTCACCTATCATCTGGGGCTGGTACAATAGGCCAGAAGTGGCTGCAATACAAGGGACTTAGTCCCACCCGACTAGCATTAAAAAAACTTATATAAATGGAAATGCAAAATTAAAAAAAGCTTAAATCAAACTGTCTCTTTTGTTAAAAAATTATCCATGCTTTCTTAAGACCTGCTTCTCCTAAATTTTCAGTTTGTTTTATTTTCCTGCAAAAATGCCCTTCATGGGGAGGGACTGCAGGACATAGCCTTTCAGACCATTACAAACTGAAGAAATTGTGATAGAACTGCAAATCTCACAAATAGCAGAATTTATGGAGTACAGAGGAAACTAGAATGAACATGTCAGGATGAGCTTTGACAGATTAAAGAACAAAAACAAAAATTTTAGAATATCAACCGAATGGAAAAAGGAATTTCTGCAAGGCGTTTGAAATGACTGAAGTATTCTGTTCTGTAATATCTGCCATCTTCTTCTCCTAGCATCATTTCCATTTTGTACAGATCAGTGGTGTAATTTCTGTAATGGATATCAGTAGGCCTCTTGAGGGAAAGGATGCTGAACTTTCAGAGCAGCTCATTTTAATGGGAAATTTAATTGTATTTTCTTCTTTGTAGCTCTTCTCTATGTGGTAGTTTTTGAATTATAATTGAATGTAGTTCAGAACCAGTAACCTTAATGCTTAATAACATGTATTTTTACTTTCTCAGAAAAGTACTTCCTTTCTGATCCAGAGCTTAATGACCCTGTTCCAATGGATTTCTTGAGCCACAAGGAAAAATATGAAGAGACTGTGCGTAAAGCATGTGTTGTATACAAGAAACTTAAAGAAATGCGAAAGGGCACAGGCAGCATCGACATAAGCAGGTATAATATACATTACATAAAATTGTGTCAGCCTCATGGATTAATGAGCTCAGAGGGAGTAACAGAAGAATATTGATGAATGAATTAACATCGCATCCCAACATCAGTGTTGGTGTAGTTGTTGTAATGCTTGATAGTAACTAAACTTTCAGTAAAGTCAGCATGAGAGGTTGACCAAACTGTTGTTGGTTGATTGGTTGGTTTCCAATGGCTGCATTTGGATCATTTAACCCATTTTGCTACTTTTTCTTTTGGGAAGCTTTGCCAGGTTTGTTGCTCATTTTGCACTGCCCAGGGAACACGTATGACTTAGAGAATGTCATGGACACGAGCAACTTTGTCCCCTGACCAAACTATTGTTTCAGAGAAGATTATGTGTGAGTTATTTCAGCAGGGCGGGTGGGCAGACAGGCTTGGGTATATGTAGGAAAATTCATGAACAAATATGTATTAGGATAAAATACAAAAATAAAGAGTGGCGGAAGACTATAGGGGTATATATGATGAAATATTTAGAGAAATGTGAGACGATAAGTAAGCATTATAGTGACACAGAAAATAAATCAGGTTACAAATAATAAGGATGGACACTATTAGAGTATATATAATAGAGATGTCGTTGTTCATTGTATGAAAGATGTGGAGTGTTACATAAGTGAAATGGCAGAGCATACGTGTAGAGTCAGGTAGTCAAACTTTGGCATTCCAAAGAATGAACAGTAACAGACTTAAAAAAGTGTTGTGACATAATAACTGAAAGATAAACGACTATGATGCAATGTTTTCTTTGAGGTCAGTGCTGATGCTATACGAGTATAACCAGACCAGAAAGACAAGGGACAATGCTTAATGCAAGCTACTTTGATTTCCCTGCCCATCACAGCACAAGACTTCAATGTATGAAACTTATGGACCACGTAACCTTAAAGTTCAATAATAATATGTTTATGGCTGCTTTATTCTTGGATATTGAAAAAGCCTTTGATACAACATCGCACCTTGGCTTGCTATATAAATTATCTACATTACAATTTTTGATCACTCTTATTAATCTTATTGGTTATTTCTTTTCTCAGATAAAATTTAGAGTTTCTGTTGAAGGTGAAATGTCTATGCCAAGGGATATACAAGCAGGGGTGCCACAAGGTTCTGTCCTGTCCCCCACATTGTACAGTATATATATAAATGATACACCCCAAACACCTGGTGTCTATCTAGGTCTCTTTGCTGGTGACACCTGTATATATGCGATAGACCACAGACAGGGTTATGTTCTCAGAAAGCTGCAGTGAGGTCTCAGTGCTATGGAGATGTGGTGTGAGCTCTGGAGCATAAAAATCAATGAAGGTAAGACTCAGGCCCCCTGAGGTTTATCTTGCATTGAATGGACAGAACATCCTATTCGTGATTCATGTAAATTATCTCGGTGTAGTCTTTGGTAAGAGGATTACATGGAGACTGCACATAGAATTGATTGAAGCCAAAGCCTTCAGAACATTCATTACAATCTACTACCTATTCAAATGTGAGCATTTAAGTGCTAATATTAAACTCTCCATAAAGCACTGATAAGTCAGTAATGACCCTGCCTGGGAATTTGTGGCAGACACCCACCTCTTAAAATCACAGCGCCTCTGAAATAAGGTTCTGCGCACCATTGTAAATTTTCCAAGGTGCACGCCAGTCCACCATTTGCACATGGTATTCAATCTTCTGTATGTATATGATTATTATAAAAAGAGTGCAAGCGTCAAGCATAGGTTATACAAAATCATCAAAATGACCATGGTCATAGCATAGGACAAGTCAAAGCCAGACACAGAAAATATAAGAAGCTTGATCTTCGTGGTGGTCGAGTTTGCAACCGTTCAAGTGACTAAGCTGCCGTTGTAGCATAAGATAATTAAGATAGACATAATTTTCTTTGCAAAGCCTGGACTGGCATGTTTTGTAATAGGAAGAATTTTCAGTAACATGCTACACATGTCATGTGTACACTTTGACAAATGCCAAGCATACTCATAAGAGAAAAGCAATTCTCTCATTAGAGAGGATGTTAGACAAGGACTGTGACCACAAAGGTTCACTTGCAAAAATAAGAAAAACAAAAACAAGAGCCACAAGAGTCTTGGTACCAAGACGAACTGATTGGATGTAAACTGCCAGCCATCCATAATGTATCTCTGTCTCTGACTCTGAGAGCCAGTGTGTAGACAGTCATGGCTTGAATGTGTTGAGTTGCGGTTGAGAGTCGAAAGTTGGAGCAATGGGTTAGGAATGAGACCATTGCCAGCCAGTATGGACGTAAGCACAGAAGCAGAGTCCATTGTTGGGAGCCGTTCTCAGGCAAGGACTGGTGAAGACAGCAAAATGAGAGGACTCGGAAGTGCTCTAGTGAGAAGTAGAGTGCATAAATAGTGAGAGTGCTATAATTACTTGTAATTGTGATTTAGTGTCTAGTCACTAATGCATGACAGTATTCATTCATTCAACAAGTGTCGGTTTTCCAAAGAATTAGTGATGATATACATCACCATTATTTTTCCAAATATTGCAACTGGCAGACCTAATGCGGGTGTTATAAAACAGTATCCATACATAAAAAAAAAAAAACAAATTTTCTAGGTTGTACCACTGTGCAATTTGGTAGAAATCGACATGCTTCTTTTCTGCATACTGTTTTACCCTGAAGATGGAGGCAGCATGGACTTCTACTGAACTACATAATGTTACATGCTGGAAGACAGAGACAATATTAACCTCTGCAACTTCGGCACCATCGCCCACAACCATATGGTGTAACAACCGAAGAATTAACAACAGTGAAAGCCTAAAACCACTAAGTTGTATAATTTAGTTGAGAATTTAATTACATATTCTTTCGTTTTTACAGTGTAATGTTAGTGTTTGTAGCAGGTATCCTCATATGATAATTACAAACTGTCTGTTTGGACTGAACATCGCCAGTTAGTTAATCCCTTTGCCATGCTTAACCCTTTCAGGACCAACCATGGACATATGCTTATCTGCTGGGCCAGCTCTGAATATACTTGCTTGAATTTGTTCTGTTATTCTGTCATATATGTAGCTTTTTAATTTTCACACCTGTTAAGAGAATATGCAAATTAAGAAATTAAGAAGAAAATAGTACTGCGTTAGGTATGCATCTAAAACCTGAAATAATGATTTTAATATTTGCAAAATGGAAAATAGCTCTAAAGTGTTTGTCATTGTTTGAAATATATGAAAGAGACCGGCTTCATGTATTAAAATTGAGTGCATAGTGAATATTTAGAGTAATTGGTCAAGGTCCATTCGGATGCAGTGAATTTAAATGAGTTAATGTTATGAGATCTGAGATACTCACATTGGTAAGTATTCACATTACAGTCTTCCCAGATGTGACACTGTGTAGTTTGATAGGTAGGAGCAGGGTGATATCTCCTATCCTGCAGATGGTTGGTACATGGCTGCCAAACTACTGTACATTGTGTCACATCCCAGAAGAACATAATCTAATGGATTACATTTTTTGTCTTAGAATTCATGATTCTTCTGTTGCATTGCAGAGAGAACATCATTACCTCTGTCATTCATTCTATTTTGAAGGATGGTGATCCATTTTCTTTAAATAATGTTATGATGATACCAGTTATTATTGGGCAAGCAACACCTAGACAACAAGCCATGTGGTTGCAGAGAACAATTAACTATGAGATAATAGGAACATATGCTCAGGTAAGAATTTATGGGTTGATGTAACTGATCATTACCTCCTGATGCCATTCATGAATATTACCAGTAATTATATAATCTTAAATTATACTGATACTCTAGGACATAATACCATTTTTGTATTAAGAGCGACATATACTCAGTTCTCAACAGAAAGTGTTCTGAGAATCTTTAGCAGTGAATATTTATATAAGACACATGTAACCCGAAACAGTCCCATGATACCGATAAAGATGTTACAGAATTTCTAGTTAAAGGTGGAGTTTTCCCTGTGCTTAACGAATTAAACACTATGCCATGAAGTTGTATGGGGGGTGTACATATAGATCTACGTTTTCTTGACCTTGACAGTAGTTGGATATGAGTGGTCAGCTTCACGACCCGGCTGCTTTACTACATAAGAAAGAGCCCTCAGTACCCATTGGATAGGAGGTTGGGTGGACCCCAGAGCCGGTCTGGACAACGTGGAGAAGAGAAAATTCTTGACCCTACCGGGACTCGATTTCTGACCCCTCTGCCATCCAGCCTGAAGCCAGTCGCTATACTGACTACACTACCCTGGCTCCTACCTAGCAATATTTAAATTAAATATATGAATCCTGTTGGTTATAATGAATAATTTTGCAGGCCCCGAAATAATATGAGCCAATCTAATCTGTTAAAGTGGAAACATACGTCATTTGAAATTGACAGAAGCTAAATTCAAGTGACAAGTTACTGAGTTACTAAACAGTCATCAACAAACCTTTGAGTGATCTAGATGCAAAAATCAGTGCCTTCTGCTAACCAGTTAAGGATTTATCCTTAACATTGGAGAAGAGTGACTATTGAATGAATGAATGTATGTATGAAGGGTAGGCCTTCTCGGCCCTTGCACAATGACCTACAGTGGTCTATTATGCTTCAGAGTGACTATTAGTGAACTTAAGTATAATGCGTGTAGTTATAACTATGAAGAATTAAAGTTAATTATTTCATTGGCTAAGAAGGAGTTTTAGTGTTACCTTGTTGCATTGAAACAAGGCCTGTTAGGCCCTGAAACAGATTTCTCATGTTCATCTGTTAACATCGATCAGTGCAACCCCATAATCCCAATTAACCCACGTGTAACTTATGGATATATGGTGCCCAATTGTTCCCTCTCCACCTTGAATCTTTCTACTACATAGGAGGACTCAGGTGTGCTATGAGTGTGAACACAAATACAAGAGGGAATAAAGAAAGGAGACAACACAGAGGTGACATGTTTGACACGATAAACGCTAAGGCAAAGAAAAAAAAATTGTTCTTACTGTGTGGTCCACAAGTGCAGTGCAGTCATAATTGGCAGCCAAGGTGGAACAGTTACCTCGGCTACACTCAATGACTGACACATTTATAGTAAGGTAAAAGAAAAGTTGTCCCTGTGCTTAACTAATTAAACACTGCACCATGAGGGCGTATAGGGGAGTGGATGTATAGATCCACATATTATTGACCTAGGTCCTAGTTGGAGGTGAATGGTGATCTTCAGGCCCTGGCTGCTTTACTCCCAGGGTAAAAGCTTCTGGTACCCATTGAGTGGGTCTCAGAACATGTCTGGAAGACATGGAGAAGAGAAAAATATTACCCCTACAGAACTTGAACTCTGACCCCTTAGTCATCCAGGCCATAGCCAGTTGCTATACCAACTGTGCTGTTCTGGCTTCAAAGATTTTTTCAGAAGTTAATAATTATCATCATCATCCCTTATTGGATTGGGTAAATCTTCTGTTCTGCCGCTAATATTGTTAAGTCTCCTACCTTCTTGGTCTTTCTGTGTCTCATCAACCAGATAGACGATATTCATAGATTTGAAGTGGAATGAAAGCTTGACAGCTGCCACGTTTAAGCCGTTTATATTTCCCGTGTCTGTCTTTACCTTGTCCTATGCTGCAAGAAGATCACCAACTCTCTCCTAACTAACTCTGTCCACTAAATTGTCCTCCTTATAACATCTTGGCATGGACCGCATAGAAAACACTGCTCCTCTGTTGCACTGCAATTGTTGCCATGGAGTTCTAGCATTCATGTCTTTTGGCAGAACTGTTACTTAGAAACATCTGTTATATGGTTGCTTATTTTGTGATCGTTGCCTAATAACAGATCTACATGCCACATTATGTTGTACCATCAAGCATGGACTTCCAGCCTTTCCAGAAATACAAACACATGATGCTTTCCAGAAATACAAACACATGATGGATCATGACAGGGTATTCTTCTTGGACACTGCAGACAGAAGCTGATGGTCTTTGCTATAAGAAATGCCATGACACAGTGTTGTACCTTTGCAAATTTTCAGTCTGAATAACAGTAAAAGTTACTGAATATTAATGTTCATACTTCTGCCCTCAGGATGTCAGATGTAGGCAGCATAGAATTTGTTGCGGTTTGTCATTTTGTTCCATGTGGAACAATTTAAAAAATTACACATTCTCAAATTTTAAAAGCTAATTTCAGTGGAGGACAGACCATTTCCAGTAGCAATACAAAACATTTGATATTAATTAATCATTTGTGTGAACTGGCAAAAATTTGTCCTTTCATACAGAGAGAGGTGAATACAGACACAGTGAAACATATAAAGTTGATAACTGCTGTAAAAACATAATGACAAACTACATACATTCAGTGATGTTTCAGCAATTTTGCCTGTGTCTTGTCCATTTCCTTGGTTCACTTTTCAACCCTGGAGATGGAGGCAGTACCTCTAAAATATCATTGAACTTCTGCTGGATTATCTGATGCTACATCCTACAAGATACTACTCTTAATGGTCACCCCTCTGAGAACTCAGATCTATTTTTGTATTGTGGTCTTCTAGGTTATGGTAGTCCCGAACACCATCCTATGCCTTATCTTAAATCTTATGAGCTACACAGGTGCCTGCTTATGCTTTCACAGTGAGTTTATACCCCAGAAATATAACGGTCAGAGAACTGTGGCATGGAATAATAGCATTTAATCCCAGTCTCCAAATTAGGTGACTTTAGAAACACACCCAGAATATTCCAGTTATTGAAGATACTGACAAGTACAGAACTTGGAGAAGAATAAATTAGAATATTGAGTCCATGATTTATTTTATCCGTCTTCTAGTGCATACATTTATTTATCCCCTCTTTTCACTCTCACTACATGTAAGTACCCCCACCACAACTACGCCCACAACATCATAACTCACTCAAAACGAAGACAGCACACACACACATACCCAGCAGGTCCAGCAGTATAACACACGCAGTCACAGGAGCGAGACGCAACACAGAGCACAGTGAGTATTAAACATTAAAATCATAATACCACAAGTAATAGATAGGCTGCAGAACGCGGTATTAATGAATAACAAATTCATGTTACAGATACACGATAGTGAAAGAGAGAGTGCTCCAACAGAGGATGATAGACGTGACTCGCGTAATGAAACACGACGTAGGAAAGAAATATGCTGTACAGTTTTAGTATTTTAACACTTGACATTTGTCAGTATATATGATAAATATATATTTTAGTTATTTTAGTATGTAAAGACAAGGCATGCAATGAATTAGTTTGTCGTGGATTGGATCAGCACCTGAAGATGGCACATTGGTGCCGAAACATGTAGTGAGAGTGAAAAGAGGGGATAAATAAATGTATGCACTAGAAGACGGATAAAATAAATCATGGACTTAAATCAGTGCAACAGGACGCTAAAATATAACATTAGAATATAGAGGTTAATATTTATTATGTTTTGAAGCCCTGAATGTGATGTAAACCAGAAATAATGTGATTTATTTTGCTTGGATCCTGTAACCACTGCAGTTTTGTTTGTTTCCTTTGGTCTAATAATTTTGAGCATCCTTCATTGAACCATGGCGTATGTTTCTTCAGTTTATAATAACGTAGACTCTGTTTGGTAGAAATTTTTATATTCTCTCTAATAGTTTCCTGATCTATATCAACATCCTCCTCTGTGTCTGAACCTATTTCAAATTTCAGCATGATACTGCTCCTTACCTTCTACAACATACTTCATTTAATTTCTTGAAATTGAATTTCTCCACATAAACTCTGTGTGTTGTTTGTTTATTCACTGCCAGTCTTTCCCTAACCTTTGCCACACCAGGTAATGATCAGTGTCACAGTCTGCTGCCCTGAATGATTGAACATCAGGTATATTTGAATGCCATCTCCTGTCTATCAAAATATGGTCAATTTAATTGTGTATCTTCACATCAGGAGATGTCCAAGTCAGTTTATGGATGTTATGATGTAGGAATATTGTACTTTTGATGGTAAGATTTGTTGATGTAGCAAAGTTTACTACTCTTAACTCCTTTATCATTACTAATTTTGTACAAACTCTCATTCCCAATCGTTTGTTTGAAAATGTCTTCCCAAAATACTTTGGCATTGAAATCTCCTCACAAAATTTTCGTATGGTATTTTGGGAAGATCTAGAAAAACCAAAGTGAACAGAGTTCATGGAGGTAGGCCTAGGCCCACTGGGGCTGTAGTGCCAAAGAAAAAACAAATGGAGAATTTATCAAATACATGTTCCAGTTCTTTGTGGAATCTGTCCTTTATGTCATCAATTTTATTTTCAGTTGGGGTATGAACATATCATGCCAGCGTCCTCTTAGTATTATGTATGATATCCAATCACTAATGAACTCTACCATCATAACTGCTGATATGATTCTCTTAGGTATGAAAAAACCTGTACCTAATTCATTCTTCTGAATCTCCTTTCCATAGAAAATTTATATTTGCCTGCTGATTCGGTGCCACCTCCATCCCATCCGATCTCCTCTACTCCCGCTAAATCTAACTTAAATTTAAAATTTCTTCTGCAACTGCCCTAAGCGAACCTGCCCCATACATCTGACATTCCAAGTATCAAATCTCATATCCATTTTCTTCACTTAGGTCATTTATCCAAGGAATCTGCCCTGGTTCTAGGCTTCATGAACATTTTCGTAACAAGGTTATTTTTTGCGGTGAGTTGAAGCCCCACGCCCAATCCCCAACTGGCGGACCACACTTTGTCGGCTGTCCACGACTTCTTATTCAATATATTTGCAGCTACCCTCCATACATGTAGGGTCTCCCCTCCATCTGCAACCTGAGGACATGCCATTCTGTGGTGACAATTGACCCACCTAACATTGACACTTTGTTTCACTTCAGTTTCTTAAGCTAAGACAGTCGGTAGGACTCCTTGGATGGGGGATCAGCCAATCACAATGCCGCTACCTAACGCAAACAGAGAATAAACACAGACATCCATGCCTTGAGTGGGATTCGAACCCATGATCCCAGTGTTCAAGCTGTCAAAGATGTTTCATGCCTTAGACCATGAGGCCACTGTGATCGACTTTTTGGATCAATAGCTCTGTATTTTGTTGTAGCAGCTCCCCTATGAAGCAATCTCCCCCCCCCCACCACCACCACCCCTTGCTGTTAGTTCCCAAAAACTATCATTCTCTTTGATTCGTCCATGGAGCATACTGTTTGTTTACACACTGTAGGTTACTAATTCTGCTGTCATATTTGCTGAAGTGTTATTGTAATTCTGTGTTACTGTGGTACTCTGCCATCTTCCATGTTCTGTTAATTTGCTTCTTCTTGAGGGTATGCTCTTCAAGCATGCTTCTCATATGTTAATTTTTTTATAGTTTCTTTTTATTTGTTACTAGTTAGTTGTGGGAAGAAGAGATTCGAGCCTGTTGCATCATATTTAATATTATCATGGTACTCATCTTCTAAGAGCTTATTCTTGGACAACCCAATATCACCTTTGGAGCAACGTACACGTAAATATAACTGCAGAACCTGGGGAGATGAAAGTGACACTTTCTACCAGTTTAGGGTAGAGGGTAAGGGGAGATGTAGTGTGAAGCTAGCCACTTTTCATTCTGGTAGTCAAAGAATTCCTGCTCAAAGGAAATATACTGCAGCCAGCTGCAGATTTAAGAGCAATAACCCCAGCAGTAGGATATTATGTTGGCTCTTAGGTTCCTGGTATTAATTGTGGTCTTAAGTGGATAATTGTTTACACTGTCCAATATTATGAATAATAGTCATACCAATAGCATAACACTACTGCAAGAATAAAAACGTTGCATTTGAATGGTGTAAATACTTATCCACTGAAAATTAATAATAATGTAACAGGATGCCAAAGTACAATGTTATTAATTGTATTGTTGCTTTTTGTACTTATTGTGGGTCATAAATTGCTCAGACCATAAAGTCTTGTTCATTTTCAGACTGAACTTGGACATGGCACATTCATTAGAGGTTTGGAGACAACAGCCCATTATGATCCTACAACACAGGAGTTCATTCTCAACAGCCCAACTTTAACTTCTTACAAGTGGTGGCCGGGTGGATGTGAGTATTCTCCGATATTTCTAAGTGATGCTTTGTGGAAAAGGAATGGATATTTATGCTGTCACTGACATGAATGAAACAAATTTACCACAGTGAGACCAAGTGCCCTTGTGGGGCCTTTAAATGGCGTGTTGCAGTCAAATACACGTACACTTTTAAATCTGCACCATGGACGTTAGTGCATCAGTAGTATACAACTGCCAAAAGTAAGCTACATGATATAGAAAAGCTACATCTCTTTGTCATCTGTGAATAACAAGGAAATTAATATGTCAGGCATAATTGGAGACATTTATGGGTGTGAGACATTTTTGCCAAATGTGGACTGTTGTTTCATGTCACAGGTCTCACTTCACATTGATGCATTCAGATTATTGTATAACTGGCTTCAGGCAAGAACGCAGGTTTTCCCCTGCCCCCATTAAACATTGCCCATTCCAATTAAAACACTAGTGTTTGTGTTATCAGCCATATTTATTTCTGAAGGTTTTAAATTGTAAATGAGATTTAGTTGTGTTTTACCATGTAGGACGCTTTAAACTATATTGTATTATGATATTGTACAGGTCTGACTCATCCCTCCCCTTCCTCCATAATCTGTTGCATGATGGGAATAAGTGATCAGCTTCTGGCCCTGGCCACTTCACCACTGGCAGAAGAGGTCTTGCTGTAGTTTGGATGGGAGAGTGCATGGCCTCCATAGGCAGTCATAATAATAATAATAATAATAATTCAATTCAATTCAATTCAATTCAATTCAATTCTTTATTATTAATGTGCCGAGTCAACAGCCGCAAGG